ATGGGGAAGGGGTGTACATTCATCTTATATTTTGCTAAACTCTTATGTTTAGTTCAAATTATTTTCCGAGTTAAGTGCTGACTAAATGGCTCCAAAAAATAGCTGCTGCCTAAAAGCATGAGTTCTTGAAGCTCAACCATCTCAGCACCACCAAAAACAAAGAATCTAATTTTTTCTAGTAGATTATTTTCGATTTTACTAATTGACTAAATAATACTCACTGATAATTAATATCCCCCCATGAGATATCAACAAATAGGCAGGATAAATAGAATAAGAAGCAAGGAAATTTAGAAAAATTTTAATTTTAAAAAAATAAGCCAGAATTCGAAACTGGGACAAAATTAGGAACTAATTCTGAAGTTCACTAGAACAGCAAAAAATTGAATATATACACCTATATTCCTTCCATCACCCTCTCTTTCTTTAGTGGTTAGTGAGTCACAACCATCCTAGATGAGGAATATAGTTTGAGATTAGAAGTTATTCCTTGACCAGAGTAATGCCCCCAGAGCTTACACCATCATTTCCATATTTAGGTAATAATAAACCCATCCTATACCCAGTGTCTCCATGTTCAGGTAATAACAGAAACAGGAGTTTAGCAAAACAATTGTAGGTCAATGGTGACCACATAGCTAGGTGAAAGTTTGAACTGGAATCTCCCAGCTCATGGGGTATAAATATACTTGGAACAAGGGCCACCATTTTTTGCTGGTTGAGATAAGGATAGCTATACAGGGCATTGACTCACATTGATTTCCTGTGCGTGGGTGTTACCTTCTAGGTTAATTCTTTTTGATCTAACTTTTTTTCTAGTTCCTGGTCCCCTTTTCCTATTGGCCTCAGTTGCTTTTAAGGTATCTGCTTTAGTTTCTCTGCATTGAGGGCAACAAATGCTAGCTAATTTTTTAGGTGTCTTACCTATCCTCACACCTCCCTTATGTGCTCTCGCTTTTATCATGTGCTCATAGTCTAATCCCATTGTTGTGTTTGCCCTTGATCTAATGTTCACATATGAGGGAGAACACATGATTTTTGGCCTTTTGGGCCAAGCTAACCTCACTCAGGATGATGTTCTCCAATTCCATCCATTTACCGGCAAATGAAAACATTTCATTCTTCTTCATGGCTGCATAAAATTCCATTTTGTATAGATACCACATTTTCTTACTCCATTTGTCAGTGGTGGGGCATCTTGGCTGTTTCCATAACTTGGCTATTGTGAATAGTCCGCAATAAACATGGGTGTGCAAGTGCCTCTGGAGTAACCTGTGTCACAGTCTTTTGGGTATATCCCCAAGAGTGGTATTGCTGGATCAAATGGTAGATCAATGTTTAGCTTTTAAAGTAGCCTCCAAATTTTTTTCCAGAGTGCTTGTACTAGTTTACATTCCCACCAACAGTGTAAGAGGGTTCCTTTTTCCCTGCATCCTCGCCAACACCTGTTGTTGGTGGTGTTGCTGATGATGGCTATTCTAACAGGGGTGATGTGGAATCTTAGTGTGTTTTTAATTTGCATTTCCTTTATTGCTAGGGATGGTGAGCATTTTTTCATGTGTTTTTTGGCCATTAGAATTTCTTCTTTTGAGAAAGTTCTGTTTAGTTCACTTGCCCATTTCTTTATTGGTTCATTAGTTTTGGGAGAATTTAGTTTTTTAAGTTCCCTATATATTCTGGTTATCAGTCCTTTGTCTGATGTGTAGCTGGCAAATATTTTCTCCCACTCTGTGGGTGTTCTCTTCAGTTTAGAGACCATTTCTTTTGATGAACAGAAGCTTTTTAGTTTTATGAGGTCCCATTTATCTATGCTATCTCTTAGTTGCTGTGCTGCTGGGGTTTCGTTGAGAAGGTTCTTACTTATACCTACTAATTCTAGAGTATTTCTTACTCTTTCTTGTATCAACTTTAGTTTGTGGTCTGATATTAAGATCCTTGATCCATTTTGAGTTAATCTTGGTATAGGGTGATATACATGGATCTAGTTTCAGTTTTTTGCAGACTGCTAACCAGTTTTCCCAGCAGTTTTGTTGAAGAAGCTGCTATTTCTCCATCATATATTTTTAGCTCCTTTGTCAAAGACAAGTTGGTTATAGTTGTGTGGCTTCATATCTGGATCCTCTATTCTGTTCCACTGGTCTTCATGTCTGTTTTTGTTCCAGCACCATGCTGTTTTTATCGTTATTGCTTTGTAATATAGTTTGAAGTCAGGTATGGCGATACCTCCAGCATTGTTCTTTTGAATGAATTTTGCCTTGGCTATTCGAAGGGCCACCATTTTTGAGCCTCTTTGCTCCCACCTCCTGTGTGTCAGGGGGTGCTTCTCATTCCCTTTTATCTCTCCCTACTTTGTCCTGCTTTGCTAAATAAATCTTTTCTACCCTTCCACCTTCAATTTCCTTTGTTTGTGAAACTCCTCAAAACGCTTTTTGTCATGGATGTCAAGAGCTTAAGAAATCACATGAGAATTGGGGAGCTGAGTCAAGGATTTCGTTCCTTTCTCTTATTGGAGATCTGACTTGTTCCAAATATTTACCCAGGGCATTTATCATTCCTATGGGTTTTTTGTTGTTTTGTTTTAGTATCATATTATCTAGCATTCTGGTACAATGTGGTTAGGAGAGAATGTAGTGGAAATTTATAATTTCTCCTTAAATTAATGTCAGTACCAGGAAGATGCACAGTTAGTTTCAAACAGTCTTTTTCAAGCTAGATTTCCTGCAAATATATATAATATATATAACATATACATGTTATACATGTTTAATAAATATATGCCATAAACTTTATATGTATATATATATATATATATATATATATATATATATATTTTTTTTTTTTTTTTTTTTTTTTAAGACAAGGTCTTGCTATGTTGCCCAGGCTGATTTTGAATTCACAATCCTCCTGCTTTAACCTCCTGAGTGCTGGGATTACTGGCATGCACCACCACACCTGGTTCTTGCAAATATTATTTTCCCCTGTTAGTAGCTTGTCTCTTCCTTCTCTTGACAGTGTCTTTCACAAAGCATAAAATGGTAATTTTAATGAAGTCCAGCTTATCAATTCTTTCATTTATGGATTGTGCCTTTGGCATTATATCAAAAGTCATTGCTAAAACCCAAGACTATCTAGATTTTTTTCTGTAATGTTCTAGAATTTTGTATTATACAGCTATGTTTGTAATTTATTTCGAGTTAATTTTTGTGACAGATACAAGGGCTGTGCCTAGATTCATGCTTTTTCTATGAGAATGTCCACTTATTCCAGCACCATTTTGAAAAAAACAAAATTGCCTTTTGAACATTGAGTTACCTTTGCTCCTTTGACAAAGATCAGTTGATGGTACTTGTCTGGGTCATTTCATCCTATCAATGTACTTGTCTGTTCTTTCGCCAAACCATCTTGCCTTGATTACTGAAGTTTTATAATAAGTTTTGAGGTCAGTCCTCAAACTCTGTTCTTCTTTTCCAATACTGTGTGCCTATTCTGGGTCATTACCTGTTTATTATATAAACTTTAGAATCAGTTTTTCAATATATGGGAAATAAGTTTCCGGTATTTTGATTAAGATTGCTTTGAATCTATTGATCAAGTTGGGAAGAATCTATACCTTGACAGTTTGGGGTCTTCCTATTTATGTACAACATTTATTTAGATCTTCTTAGAGTTCTTTCATGAAAATTTTAAAGTTTTCTCATCTAGGCCTTGTACATATTATGTTTATACCTGAATGTCTCTCTCCCTTCTCTCTCTTTCTCTCTCTCTCTCTCTCTCCTTTCTTGTCCAAGTGGCATTATCTTTCTTATTTCAAAATCCAATTGTTCATCCCTTTCACACTATAGCCTTGATATAATCACTCTAGGAGAATTTTTTTGAATCTTCAGGATTTTTGTTTTGGCAGTGCTGGAGATTGAACCCAGGGCCTTGCACACACTTGACAAGTGCTCTCCCACTGGGCTACATTCCCAGTCAAGTCTTTGTGTTTTCTACATAGGCAACCATGTCATCTGCTATCAAAGACAGCTTTATTTCCTCCTTAATCTGTGAACCTTTCTTTTCTCTCTTGTTGATTGATTGAATTTTAAATGTTGAACCAGACTTGACTATCTAGAATAAATCTTATTTGGTAGTGGTATATATTTCTTTTTACACATTGTTGGATTCAATTACCTAATATTTTGTTGAGATTGTGTTATATCTAAATTCACAAGAGGCTTTAGTCTGTTGTTTTCCTTTCTTGTAATGTCTTTGTCTGTCATAGTGTTACTGGTCTCATAGAATTAGTTTCTTCTGCTTCTATTTTCTGGAAGAGATCATAGAGAATTGGCTATTTTTTTCCCTTAAATGTTTGGCAGAATTTATCAGTGAATCACATGAACCATTTGCTTTCTGTTTTGGCAAGTTATCAATCATTGATTCAGTTACTTCAATCGATATAGGTTTATTTAAATTATCTGTTTTTTCTCCTTGTGAGAGTTTTGGGAGATTTGTGTCATCTAAGGATTTGGTTCGTTAATCTCTGTCATTAAATTTGTGGACACAGTGTTGCTAATAATTGTCTTTTTATCCATTTTATATCCACAGGATTGATAATGGTGATTAGACATTCATGTCTTACATTAGTAATCTGTCTTTTCTCTTTTTTTTTAGTTGGCATCAATTACATTAATCAATTTCATTGATCTTTTGATCAGCTTTTTATTTTATTGATTTCCTCTGTTGATTTCCTGTTTTCAATTTCATTGATTTCTAGATGACTTTTATCATTTCTTGAATTCTTCTGGTTACTTTGGATTTAATTTGCTCTTCTCTATTTTCT